CCTCCTTTTTCTCTAATTTTGGTCTGCAAACTTAGGTTGTTAACCATCCAGAAGACAAGCTTATTGTTATTATCAAATGATTTAGGCTGTCAAGCTTAACCTCACAATCTCACTGCATTTCAAAATAATTAAAATTTAAGACTAGGCCAGTGGTCTGTCAGTGAGCAGCTACCAGCTGATGTACAAACCCAGCTGGCAGGACTTCGGCACGCTGCGGAGTACGTGTGAGTGCGACCTGGCCTCTGTGCAGAGCCCTGAAGCCGGCCTCTGCAGTAAGTCACCTTCTCCTTTCCTGGATTTGACTCCATCTCAGGCAGAGAGATTCCTTGGCTATCATCTTGTATTTCTTCCTTCTTAAAAAAAAACTTGAGCAGAGTTACGTAGTTTTGCCCCTGTGATGAGTAGGTGTAACAGCCCCACCTAGCGGATGTGCTGCTCCTCACACTTTCCATTTAGGTTAGGCTGAAGACTGCTTTGGAACCCTTCGTGCTACATAGGATTCTGCTTCCTTTTCCCGTTTCCAATGAATGTAAACAGTGAGAGTGGAGACTTTAAAGTGCATTGCAGCAGGGCTGGTGAGACGGCGCAGTGCCCAAGCAAGCTTAGGTAGGTGCAAGGGACCAAAGTTTGATCCCCAGCACCTCGTACTGTGCCAGCCCCACCCTCAGGGTAGGCTGAGCCAGCAAAAAAAATGCATTGCAGGCTCTGTGTTAACTTGTAGAGCTGGAGGAGTCAGATCATCACTTCCCGGTAGGTCCTGAGGTACCAGGGTGTAAGCGCAGTAGAATACGGAGCGAGAGACTGCCCACCTCCGGCCTCGGAGGGCTGGTCTAGGTAGCATTTTCATTATCTTTTCATATTATTGTTACAGAGTCTCGTCACCTTATTAGGCAGGTGTTACCACTTACTTAGCTTTCAGGAAACAAGAGTGAAGTTAAAGTTGTTTGTCCTCTGTCATATGGCCAGAGCCCAAGTCCTGGACCCTAATTTTCTTCTCTTGTTCATGGTTATTATTGTCAGAGTCTCAGAGATACCAGGAATGATCAGATCCATTGGCATGTTTTTGCTCCTAAAATTTTTTAGGGGAGATAGCTCAGAGGTCCAAGTGCCTGCCTGGCAAGCACAAGGACCTGGGTTCAATCCCTAGTACCGCATGCCATGCCAGCCATGTGCCAAGCTGGCCACTGAAACCGGGCGTGATGGCACATGCCTGTAATCCCAGCATGGGGGAGGCAGAGACAGGAAGATTGCTGCAAGTCCAAGCTGTGTACTGAGACTCTGTACCAAATCAAAAAATAAAAGATTTTTAAAAATTGATTTTTTTAAATGTTTGGTCCCTTTCTTTGGTCCTATTTATGCTTTCATGAATAAGAGGTAAAAACATATAAATAATGTATAAATATGGTCACTTAAAAAAATCATGCTCTATTTAATCAAACACGGAGACCTCTCTAGTACATCAGTAGAGACCGTTTCACCCCCTGCTCAGTTTGGCTGTCAGCCTCTCCTCTCTCTCCAGCAGTGGTGAGGCAGATTCTTTTTCCTCACAGAAGAAAATCCACAGCTTGCTGTCTTTGCTGTTGATGAGTATATTGGAGAGCCGGGTGGCGAAGCTGTTGCCGTTGGCATCTTTCCCATGAACCACATCAGGAGAGCCAGGGTGCTTCTCTCTGTTGGTGATCACTCCAGCTCTTCCCAAGTTAGCACCTCCGGTCACCATACACAGGTTACCAGTGTCGAACTTGATGAAATCGGCGATCTTATCAGATGCCAAATCAATCTGAATGGTGTTGCTCCTTGATGAGAGGGTCAGGATAGCGAGTGGTGCCAGCATTGGGGGTCAGCAGAGGAGGGAGCCCTTTTGTGCCCACAAAGATCTTCCTCGCTCTGCACAACTTGTACTTGGCTTCCTCAGGTGTAATCCGATGAACAGCAAAGCAGCCCTTGGTGTCGGAGATCAGATGGAAATGCTCTCCTCTCTTGTCAGTGCTGATGACACCATAAAGCCGGCAAGATAGGTTATGTCAGTTTGGACTTGACATCGATTTAGTTAAGTACTGCATGCAAATCTTCTTTAGTTCATCTTCCGTCAGGGCATACTTGAGTCTGTTCCTCAGGAAGATGATGAGAGGGAGACCTTCTCTCAGCTTGTGGGGGCCGGTGGATGGAGGAAGAGCGAACACTCTGGTCGTCCAGCATCCAGCTCTGGAGCTGCCCCTCGCTTCGGATGCTTCTCGGGGCCATGAGCCTTTAGCCGACTCCGCCATCTGCGCTCCCGGCACCCTGGCTCCTCTGCTTCACGTGGGGCTCCATGCCGACCATGGTCACATACTCTTCTAGCTTTTTACAAATTGGATTTCTCTTTGGCTTTAGAATCCTTTCTTCTTACACAGCTAGTAAATTATAAGTTCTCCCTTATCAGAAGATTGCAAAAATAAGCTGGCTTTTAGTCATTTGAGACTTATAATGAGACCAAGTGATCTAGAATACTTGAGCGTTTCTCTTACTTAAACAGGTACATTGTGATTGTAGATAACTTATAAAATTTCTGTCTGTCTTCCAGGTTAACATTAGCAGAATACCATGAGCAAGAAGAAATCTTCAAGCTCAGATTAGGTCATCTGAAGAAGGTAAGTAATGAGCAAATCAGCCTGACATGAGTGATTTCTGGTTTACATTTCAGATGAAAATTATTTAGTCATTTGAGCAAATGTAGTAGTAGTTTCTTATAGCTACAGAATTTTTTCTTTTAATTTTATTCTTTTTTATTAGTACATATTTGTCACATAATGATCACATTCATCATAGGGAATTTGTACTTGTACATAATATATCTTAATCCTCTTTTCCCATCCCCTCAACTCCTTTCAACTATTCATTCATAGCTACAGAAATCTTAAGTAGCTACTGGCCCCGTCACATCTGTAATCTTAAGATGGGACCCGTGTTCCTTGTGAAACTTTAAATCACATAGCAGTTAGTACATTTTGCCTAAAACATGCTAGAAAGGTATTGTACCAAGCATGTTCCAACACAAAAGCACCTACCCAGATGGCTACTGATGGTGCTAATGGAGATATCTTGGGTGTTGTTTGCTTAGCTGTTAAGTTACTGGCATGCAGTTTTAGGGATGGGTTGCTCAGTAAGCATTTGGTAAGTAGGCTTGGTATACCCCTGTAATCCCAGCACTCAGAAAGCTGAACAGGAGGGTCGCCTTGAGTTTGAGGCCAGCCTGAACTATATAGTGAGACTTGGTCTCAAAAACAAAGAAAAATGATTAAAACAGTCAATAAATGTTTCTGGTGTGTGTTATTTCACTTACTGGTATTGATACCTTTTTTCCCCAGTGGATTCTCCTATCTTGTTACATCAGTAGTACTTATGAATGACACCAAGTATAATTCAGACCTGGAGAATAGAATCAAATGAGGGCCAGCCAAATAGCACAGCAGATTAAAGCACCTGCAAGCAGGCTCAGGGGCCGGGGGTTTGATCCCCAGGCCTGCTGTGCCAGCCTTGCCCCCGGGACACGCTGAGCCGGCAATGGAGACTGAGTGTGGTGGCGCGCGCCTGTAATCCCAGCACTTGGGAGGCTGTAAACAGGTGGATCCCTACAAGTCTGATCTAGTAGTGAGACCCTGAACATCCTGTAGACCCTTCCCTAAAATACAAAAAAAAAAAAAAGAATAAAATGAAAAGCCTGATTTTTGTAAAAGTACATGTGTATATTGTATGCACGAAGTATTTCTAAAAACGTACCCAGAAAGTTAACAGTGGTTCCATCTTGTGATTGGGTGTGAAAAGGTGGAAAGAAGGGGTGCAGGACTGTGACTCCCCCCCCCACCTTAATTCCTTTTTATGATTTGGATTCCTTTTATGGTTTTACTTACTGTCTAGTTTTGTGGGTTTTTACAATACCTTTTTATCAATGTAAAACACCTTTCTTTAGCTTTTTATAAGCGCCGTAGCTGTCATTTTTGAAGTGAGATTCTGAAAAGATAGAATTCCCTGTATTCTAAGCTTTCTTTCCTTTTCACTTCAGGAGGAAGCAGAGATCCAGGCCGAGCTGGAAAGGCTAGAAAGGGTTAGAAATTTACATATCAGGGAACTAAAAAGGATACATAATGAAGATAATTCACAGTAAGCAATTTGGGGTATATTGGGTTGGAGATTGTTGGGTCTTTTTTGACATAAATGGTCTAGAATGATGTTTCTGTTGACTACCAGGTCGGCACATGACTCCTAGTATAGATGAGTAAGCCTGAGGCCTTCACACTAGCTGTAGCCCTGAGATTATTACCTCTGCTTTTGAGACAGGGCCTTCCTGAGTTGCATGAGTTGGGCTGCAGTGTTCTCCAGTGTGTCAGCCTCCCAGAGTGCTGGGAGTATAGGTGTGTGTAAACGCACCCAGCTTATGTAGCTCATTTGTAGGGCAAGAGAGTGTTGTGATCAGAATCGTGGTCTACTTTGGTTTTAAATAGGTCTTAAATTTATTAAATACATCAGTAAAGTAATACAGCTTCGCAGTTGTAAGTGAGTGAGATTCACTTCATATTCCATATGACCTGCGGAGCCTCGAGGAAGGGGAGCACCACCACAGCGTGGTATCGTGAAAGGATGTGCTGCTGAAATGGCCTGGAGTCCAGACGACCTTCGGGCTTGCGGTGTTAAGTGAGACTTCCAGGTGTGGTGGTGCACCCCTGTGGGTTTGTCACCTTGGGAGTGACAGCAGGAGGATTGACAATTTGAGCCCAGCCTGGACAGTTCAGTGACTTGGTGAGACGCTTGTCTCAGAGAATAAAACATCAAAGACTCTATACCACATTGATTGGAAGGTAATGCTTACCTTTGTTTTTAAGTCACTTAAAGGACTCTGTAGGAAATTAGGCTGCAGCTGGAAAAAGTCTTTTATCAGTAATTTGCCTTTTTCCTATCTTGGGCTGACTGAAACATTTTTGTCACACAGCCGCAGTTGTATATTTTTGTTTGGCCAGCGTGAGTCATGAGCCGTCCCTCTGCCAAGTGGCAGGCGTGAGCAGCCGTGGCTCGCTGGGAGTCTGTCCCTCAGGCGTGGTGCTAAGCTGTTACACTCTCACTGTTAATCCTCATCACTGCTCTGTTGTCTTCAGGAAACTAGACTAGAAAAATTTTGGCTAGGCCAGGTGTGGTGGCACACACCCATAATCCCACTGCTGTGAGCTCAAAGCCAGCCTGGATCACTTAGTGAGTTTTCAGAGTTGCAGGCCAGCCTGAACTAACTGCACAGCGAGACCCTCCAGAGAAGAGAAGAGAGAAAAAATTTTGATTAGAAGCTCGTAACAGTAGGACCAGAATCAAATGTGGAGCATAGAGCTTGTCATCTGTCTTCATAAGCACGCTGCTTTCCTTAAACAGCTTATTAATAGTGAGGCTGTTTAAGATTAAGAAGCAAGTACAAATACTTTAAACTTCATTTTTGCCAGAACCTGTCATTTCTCAGGATGGGCATGGTGGCCCACACCTGTAATCCCAGGACTTGGGAGGCTGAGGCAGGAGGACCATTTCTAGTTCAAGACCAGCTTGGGCTGCAAGTGAGCTCAAGGCCAGCCTGGGCTGCAGAGCAAGACCCTGTCTCAGAAAGACAGAAAGAATCTGTCATTTCTTGGTTATACTGTTAAAAACTGACACAAGAAAGACTGATGGGAATAGATTGTATCATAGACTTTCTGCCTGAAGAGACAAATGGATGCACACTAGGACATGTAACGTGCTTTATGCTTGTGCGTCCTATCTCCCCCCACCCCCGAACTTGGTTCTGTCACGTGGGGAACAGCGAGAGTGTACTTGTGGCGCGCGAGTCCTCTGCCCCTCATCAGGTTGGTGTCGATTGGGATAGCTCTGTTCATGCGTACAGGCGTTCCAGGGATTTGGGAAAAAGTTCTGTACTTTTTGAAAGTACTCTCAGGGGCCAGGGAGAGAGCTTAGTAGAATAAGCACTTGTCTGGCAAGCGCAGGGTCCTGAGTTCAGTCCCTAGTAGGGCAAAAAAGAAAGAAAAGAAGGAAGGACGGACGGACGGACGGACGAACTCTCGTTGTTGATCTCAGGATATTACTTTTTTTTCCACAGATTTAAAGATCATCCAACGCTCAATGACAGATACTTGTTGTTACATCTTTTGGGTAGAGGAGGTTTCAGTGAAGTTTACAAGGTAAGTATGAATAACTGGGTAAAAAAGGGCAAAATCAACTGTTCCCAACCTGGAGAACATTTAGAATAGTGATAACAGTGGGTTAATAGGTACTGGTTGCAATTCAAAAGCTTTAAGGATCTATATATCTTTGGGGAAACTGCTTCCAATACATTTAAGTAAAAAGGGATACAATATTTTATTGTTTTCTAGCTTGAAAAATACTTAATTTCTTGTACTCTGAGTAACTGCTCTTAAGAAACAATATGCAGTGTACTCTCCTATTTTAGTTTTTTTCTCTTTAAGAAAAATACAGAGCTACAACTCTTGTTGCATAGGTCCTGCTTTACCTTGGTTTTAACCAGCAGAAAAGTATAAAAATGAAGTATAAGAAGTAAAGCCATGCTGTTATGCTGAGCTGTAGGGGACTCAGGTCAACAATTTCTGGCATTGCCAGTGAAGCAGAATCCCCAATACTATTATGGACTACTGGATTCTTTTAGATTATTTTGCTGAGTTAACACACCTATAATATTTAAATGATGGAACTAAACAAAAAAGGGGATACAGATGAATGTCCATTTTGTATCTGTGTATTCAAAGTGGTTAGGATAGATATATAGCTACATTCTCTTAATTCAAGGAATAGAGGAATTTGTTCTAACAGTGCTTATAAATAGGATATCATGTCTGCATACAGCAAAGAACCACTGGGAAGAGAGTATGCAATGTGTTAATTATTGAAACTGTCCTATCAATTTTATTTGACACTGTCTCATTGCTATTTGTTTCTCAATAAAATTATGGGGAAAAAAATCCTCTATTTTAATAAAAAAGAAAAATACATAATTATGGATAGAGCAAGAAGGATAAACATTGTTCATTTCTGCTTGGCAAAATTACTGTGATTTCTGTTCTACATCATTCACAATTACTACAGATAAGCAGTGTTAACCTTTTGTAAGGTTTTTTTGTGTGAAATATATGTGCTAGTTAGTTCTTATTGGAAAGCCAGTTTTTTGTTTCAGCACTGTGCTTGTGTAAGACAGTTTAGCAGCGCTGTGTTCTGAAGGCGTGTCCTCACTTAGGGTGCTCCTGGAGGTCAGCAAGGTGCAGGCCAGGCCTTGTGCAGGATGACACTCGCCAGGTGGGGACGCTAGTCATTTTGGTGGGGTTTGTTGTTATTTTGATTTGGGGGACAGGGTCTTTTTTGGGACCTTGCCTCACTAGACAGCTCAGCCTGGCCTTGAGCTCACTTTGTAGCTCAGGCTGGTCTCAAACTAAAGGATCTTCCTGCCTTAGCTTGTCCCTCCCCAGTGCTGGGATTCCAGGCATGCGCCACCATGCGGTCGGTACCAGGGACCAAACTTCTCGGGACCTCACCCTTACCGGGCAGGGGCTTACGCTGCTGAGCTGGCTTCCCAGCCCCTAGCTGACTTACTAACTTACTAAAATTGCCTAGACAGGTACTACTATGGAAGAAAATCTTCCAAAGATTTAGGCTACCTCAGTTCCTTCTGTAGTTACAGGTCTATGCAGATTTTCTCCTTTTTTTGTAAATTTTGGTTTTTTTATGGAAAAAATCTTGTTTCATCTAGATTGAAACAAATCCGTAACCTTAGACATTTCTTCCTCTTGTCAAATGTCTGTTTCTTATGGAGGAAGTCTGCTGTGCTGAAAGAGTACTTTTATCAAGCTATGATTTATTCACAAGCTCCTCAAAAACCTATCTGTGAACCTGTTTCACATGGCAGTGCTTCGCTGATGCAGGCTGGGCCAGAGGTGGTCTTTGGGGAACACTGTCCATTTTTTGAACTGTGTGAGAGATTTTTATGTGACTCATTTTGGCCCTTTGGGATTGAAACACTTCATTTACCCAGCATGCAGCAGCAGTGGGACTGAAAAGAGGGCTGAGTTTGGTGTTCTTTCTGCTGTTATCTTTTTTTTTTTTTAATTTATTTATTTTATTTATTTGTGTGTGTGTGGCCAGCTCAGCCCACCAGGGGGCGGGGCTGGCTGGCATGTGGTGCTGGGGATTGAACCGAGGTCCTTGTGTTTTGCTTAGCTTAGCTTGTTCTAAGTAGGTGCTCTAGACCACTGAGCCATCTCACCAGCCCCTCTGCTTTTATCTTAGTAACCACAGTATATAAAATCGCAGATTATTTTGTAAGTTACCAGAGTTGTGTCCTGCGGGACTTTTTTCTCCAGGAAGCAAGTAGTATGTGACTAAAGGTTTCAGAAGTGTAAGGCGTATGCCGTGGGGTCCAGCCGCCCACTGAAGGGCGGGCGAGCGTAGGGGCGCGGGCCCGAGGCTCCGGAGCTCCCTGGAGAGCGCTGCCGCCGGTCCGGGGCTGCTGAGGTGGCCGCGCAAGTGTCACGATGGCTGCAGCACTCAAGCAAGTGTGTGGTGTGCTGTTACTTGCTGCTGCTTCTTTTTAATGCGGTGGTGGGCATTCTGAACTTCGTGTTGCGCGTTAAGTAGAAAGTTCAAATCACTCCCCTGTAATTCTTTTTTAGCATTTAACTAAAATACAACTTATTTCCTTTTTATAGGCATTTGATCTAACAGAGCAAAGATATGTAGCTGTGAAAATTCACCAGTTAAATAAAAACTGGAGAGATGAGAAGAAGGAGAATTACCACAAGTAAGTCATATTAAGTATCTGATTTTTCCAAAGTTAATAGTAGTATCTGTAGTTCAAGTATTGTGCTGAGGCTATAGCTCAGCGGCACAGCGCTTGCCTGGCAAGCATGAGTTCCTGAGTTTGATTCCTGGTACCCCTCTCCTCAAACAAGTATTATGCTGAGAGATTTAGATGAAATATTAATAGTTTTCTTTCATTTAATTCTCTTTTCTGCTTTAAGAGTGATATATATATATATGAATATGCACTTTACTGATACAGAAACAGATATTTTGAGTAAAAGTTAGGCATTGGCTGAGTTGATATTTAAATACAGACTTTGCTTAATCTAAAACCCATACTTTAAAAAAACTTTTTTTTAAATTGATTGATTGATTGATTGATTGATTGTGTGTGTGTGTGGCCAGCTCAGCCCACCAGGGGCTGGGCTGGCTGGCATGTGGTGCTGGGGGATTGAACCGCCATCCCTATGCTTTGCTAAGCTTGTTCTAAGTAGGTGCTTTAGACCACTGAGCCATCTCACCAGCCCTAAAACCCATACTTTTAACTCCTTCCTCTTCCATTGTGTATAAAGATAGCTACAAGAAACAAGTAAAGCCTCAGAAACCATAGCTGCTTGTGTCTAGAAACTAAGAGTACCGTTTGGTCAAGAGACCCTGGGGAGCCCTGGGTGGGGCTCTTTGCTACTTGAGCTTCCTTACACAAAAGACTTGTGTTTGGGGGTGCTCCTGGGGTGCCTCTCAGTACAACCCTCACGGTCTTCCCTCCCTGAAGTTCCACGCTGTCAGTCTCGGACTTCCTGTGCTTGTCTCTTCAGAGTGCCGTTCATGGTAGCCCTCTTCTGTTCGTGGGATGAGGGTTGAAGAGGGTGCTTCCTTTAGAATGAGTAGGAATCACATGTGCAGCTATGAGTCTCTGTTCCACTCTTGTCGGATTTTGTCTGTATCCTGAATTAGTTTCAGAACAGCAGAGTTTGTAACTCACTTTCTTTAAAAGCCCCAGACTTAAATTTGCGCTTAGGCCCGCCGTGTGTTGAGTTTCCTTTCCTTATTGTAGGTGCAGGTGTTGAATGAGGCAAGTCCTGCCCCCAAAAGGAGTTGCACCTGTTTTGATAGAAACAAATACCCTTCTGGGCGTGGTGGCAAACACTTGTTATCCCAGAACTCGAGGCTGAGGCAGGGCAATCTGTGAGTTTGAGACCAAATTGGGCTACGAAGTGAGCTCAAGGCCAGCCTCAACTACATAGCAAGACCCTGTCTTTTTTTTTTTTTTTTTTTTCCCCATAATTTTATTGAGGACAGACCATGTCTTTAAAAAAAAAAAAGAAACACCTCTTAACTGTTGAGGTGGTCTTGTGATTTGTGATGTTTTATCCCCTTCTCTTAACACTTTGGAGGGGGCAGAACATGGACTTTGAAGTAGCTTTTAAGTTGACTTCTAATCTCAAGAGGAAGGGCTGGGGAGATACCTCAGCGATCTAAGCGCCTGCCTGCCAAGCACAGGAACTGGTGTTTGAACCCCAGTACCATGCTGGCCACCGAGACCGGGCATAGTGGCACATACATGCAGTCCCAGCTCGGGGAGGCTGAGACAGAAGGGTCACTGCAGGTGCAAGCCACGTAGTGAGACCCTGTACCAAATAAACTAATAAAAAGGTTTTTTTAATACTCAAGAGGAGAATCAAGCATTTCTTTAACTAGTTCTTGGGACCCAGACCATAGCAACCCTTACTTTGTACCTGTTGTTCATCAGGGACCGAAAATCTTCCTGTTCCACAGATTGGCTGAGGAGTTCGGCACTGGCTGAGAGCAGGTTCCTGCAGCACTTAAAGAAGCGGGGCTCAGCTGAGGCAGGAAGAGGGGTGATGCGCACCTTGCACGAGGCTCCCTGTGCGCTGCAGTCCAGGTGCTCTGAGGAGCAGGTGGCATTCAAGTCACTCGACATGTCCGCACGCGTGGCACGCAGCCGGCTGTGGCAGGAGCGCTGCAGAGAAGGAAACCATGCGCTGTTCTGAGCAGTTGTAGCTGAGGATTGCCTCTGTTGTACTGGGCTCTGCAGAGGCCCTGAGGTGGGCTGGAGCTGTACAGCTCACCTGGCATGCCCGGGGCCCTGAGCCCCATCCCCAGGACCTCAAAAGAACAAAAAAGGGAAAGTGCCTGTGAGTGTTGGTAGGTTCTTCTATGGGTGCTCTTTCCTTTCCTTGGGCTTATTCTATAGCTACCTATGCATCAGCCACTTAGAAACAGTTGCCATAGGCCCGGGGAGATGGCTCAGTAGGATAAGCGCTTGACTGACAAACGCAAGGGTCTGAGATCAGTCCCTGGTTCTGCATAAATAAATAAATAAACAAACAAACAAAGCAGTTGCCTTAGCCAAGGAAGTAGTTCAGTGGCATAAGTACCTGCCTGCAAACTCAAGGTCCTGAATTTTTTTTTTGGGGGGGGGAACCGGGGATTGAACTCAGATCCCTGCATTTGCCAGTCAAGCGCTTATCCTACTGAGCCATCTCCCCAGCCTCAAGGTCCTGAATTTGATCCCCAGTACAAAACATTAAAAAAAGAAATCCAGAAAATAATTGCCTCTACCTGGAGACCAGGTGTCATCAACCTTGACAACATAGCTCTCTGGGTACTAGGATTCGTGCGTACTTTGCCTACACTGAGACTCCAGCTTTGGAGCTGATGTTAAGAGAATTGTAATGTTGAATACCCTCGTAGATATAGGACAATAGCGTGTTCAGTTTGAAACAGTAAGGGTGTGAAGCCAGGCTTGGGTCCCTCCCTGGCAAAGGAGTGTGTATTGAAGCAGGCTGTCTAAGCTCCTTGCAGTTCCAGCGCAGGTTGGCAGTGGAGACTTTATCAGAGGAAGAATTAGTGTAGGGCCTGAGTCCCATCTGTGGAACCTTCTGGGCAGGGGCTGTTCTCCAACTGACAGTCCCTGGAAGGGCATATACAAAATTGTTGTGATCTCCATCCTTGCTTGGGAGAAAATTCTTCAACATTTCCACTTTTCTTTGAAAGATCTTGCTATAAGTGACATGAAATCATACTATGAATTGCACATCTTTGAATTTAAAGAAACCTCAGATTAAGCACATAACAGATTTTGAAGAGTGTTTTAAAAATACATTTTTAGAGTTGAGGATGTATACCAATGGTAAAGTAAGGCTTGCATAGCATCCCAAGCTGGATAGTAAAACAGAGGCATTGTTAAACTAATACTAGGTGGCTGGTGAGATAGCTCAGTGGACTAAGCGCCTACTTAGACAAGTGCAGGGACTGGGTTCGATTCCTGATACCACATGCCATGCTGGCCCTGCCTGGGCGTGCTGAGCCAGCTATTGAGACTGGGTGTGGTGGCACACGCCTATAATCCCAGCTCTGGGGAGGCTGAAAACAGGAGGATCACTGTGAGTGATCCTGCACAGTGACACCCTGCACCAAAACACACACACACACACACACACACACACACACACACACACACACAGAAACCCCTAATTCTAAAAAACAGAATAGGTGTGTGTGTTGTGGAGACTGCTGCAGCGTGCAGACGCCCTCCCCCGCGTGGCGCCGCCGTCCAGCGCGTGGCGTGGCACCTGGGCACAACAAGGACTCCGTTTGCTTTCCCATTCTTTGGGATGGTTTCCCAGTCTCATTTGGAATCAAATCACTGATGTGGGTTTACAAAGAAAAAAGAAAGAAGGAAATCCTGATAGGATATAAAAGGTTGAATTCTATTCTGCCTTTTTTTTTTAACCTCTTTTGCTCTCCAATAAATCGATTGTATTACTTTTACTTTATGAAAATGGTAGTGTTGCTAGATTTAATGCCCAAAAATGCATTAAAATTTCTACAGAGGAAAATTTTCGCATAAAGTTGCCTGCAAAAATGTTTACAAATTGGTATATTATGCTCTTTCAAGATTTAAAAAAAAAAAAAGGGCTGGTGAGATGGCTCAGTGGTCTAAAGCACCTACTTAGAACAAGCTAAGCAAAGCACAGGGACTGCGGTTCAATCCCCCAGCACCACGTGCCAGCCAGCCCCGCTCCCTGGTGGGCTGAGCTGCCCCCCGCCACAAATAAATAAATAAAATTTTTTAAAAAAAGGTAAAAAGGCAAGCATCATTTAACTATATGTCCATCTGTAGAAGAGTAATGTGAGTTTCTCCCACTTTTTATTGAAATCCCTGTTTCTACTGTACTGATGCTTTGGACACTAACTTAAAGTTGACCATAGGACAGACCCAGGTCTGCCAATTGTCTTACTGAGGAAGGATGAGCAGCTGCTGTGGGCTTGGTGTGTTTTGAAGGAGAGTTTTCAGGGACACCGAGCAAATTCACTTAGCTGGCAAGAGGACTTTCCATGCCACACCCTTTGATCATTAGTTTTTCCTGCCTCTCAGTTCCCCTTTCCTGTACCTTTGGAGAAACGGGTCTTTTCTTTGAAATGAACAAAATGAAAACATTAAAACAAAAGGGCAGAGAATTTCAAGTTACGAAGCAGACTTATGTCCAAAGGGACTTGAGAGGATCTGTTCAGTCCATAGATTTCTTTTTCATTTTTGGGTTTGTTTTTTAGGCAGGGTCTCACCATGCAGTCCATGCTGGCTTCAGACTCCCTCTGTGATCCAGAGTGGCCCTGAGCTCACAGTGATCATTTTGCCTCAGCCTCCAAAATGCTGGGATTGTAGGTGTACTGAAGCACCCCTGGCTTCGTCATCCTTTTTTTTTCTTTCTTTCTTTTTTTCTTTCATCCTTTTTTTTTTCTTTCTTTCTTTTTTCTACAGTGAGAGGCAGGCTCTCACTGTAGTTTGTAGGCTGTTCTGAACCTACTGTGTAGCCCCTCATGGCAGTCCTGTTGCCTCAGCCTCCCTAGTACTGGGATTACAAGGGTGAACCACCACACCCTGCAGTCCCTAGATTGCTTAAATATCTTTTAAGTATATATGTTTCTTGGACTCTTGTGCTATTAGGAGAGACAGGTGCAGAGGTACTTGGGTGCAATGAGGGTCTGGGCCAAAGCTGAACGTGCTCAGCGCCTGAAGCTTCTGTCCACTGAAGAGACTGCGAGCCCAAGGCGCCTCTGCTTGGGATGTGTGTCTGATGCCACTGGGCCTTGGTGCTGTCATGTCTTTTCTCTGCTGGAAAAATGAGAGTGGTTCACTGTGTGTGGTGGCAAATACCTGTAATCCCAGCACTCAGGAGGCTGAGGCAGTAGCATCGCTGCAGGACTGAGGCCAGCCTGGATTAGATAGCAAGACCCTGACTCAAAAAGCTAAAAAGAGAAAAAGTAGAACAGACAAGAGCCAGATGGTGATGAAAGCAGGTGTGGTGGCACACGCTGATAACCCCGCTTGGGCAGGCAGAGGCGGGAGAGCTGACGAGAGCTTGGGGCTGGGCTACATAGTGCGGTCAACTACTGTTTTTTGGGGTTTTCTTTTGGTGGGACTGGGGATTGAACTGAGGCCCTTGCGCTTGCCAGGCAAGCACTTATTCCACTGAGCCGTCTCCCTGGCCCCTTGAACTTTTCCTTAGCTATTTTCTGTATATTTGTGATACACTAGAACATAACAAATTTTAGAAAGCATCTTTTTTTTTTTTTTTTGGCAGAACTGGGGATTGAACTCAGGCCCTTGCACTTGCCAGGGAAGCGCTTACTCCACTGAGCCATCTCCCTGGCTCCATTAGAAAGCATCTTTTTGTTTTGCTTTTGCTTTTATGTTGTGAGACAGACTCTCACTGGACAGTTCAGGCTGTGCCTAAACTCACCTTGTATCCCAGACTGGCCTCAGACTTGCAGCAATCTTCTGCCTCACTTTCCTGAGTGCTAGGATTACAGGCATGTGCCATCCTGACCAGCTTTGGTATTTTGAGATAGGGTCTCACTTTGTAGTTCAGCCTGCCCTTGAATTCACAACACTCGTCCTGCCTCAGCCTCCTGAGTGCTGGGATTTAAAGGCATGCACCTCCACACCCGACTGTGCCTAGTGATAATTTCTTTAAACATGCTCTACAGTTCTTTTACAATTCAGTATGTGAGGGCTAGCCAAATAGCTCAGCGGGATTAAAGCACCTGCAAGCAGGCGCAGAGGCTGGGAGTTTCATCCCCGGGCTGGCCATACCAGCCCCGCCCCCGGGGCGTGCTGAGATGGCAATTGAGACTGGGCGTGGTCGTGTACACCCTTAGTCTCAGCTCTTGGGAGGCAGTAAACAGGAGGATCACTAGAATCTGGTCTAGTAGTGAGACTCTGAACACCCTGTAGGCCCTTCCCTAAAATAAAAAAACCCAAAAAACAAAAAAAAACCTCGATATGTGAGGGCCAGCCAAATAAATAGCTCATCAGATTAAAGTGCCTGCCTAGATAGAGTGCAGCAGCTGGGGTCTGATCCCCGGCATGCATGCGTGCAGGCCCTGCCTGGGGAGCTGAGAGGACGATTGAGACTGGGCGTGGTGGCACATGCCTGTAATCCCAACTCTTGGGAGGCTAAAAACTATAAGTCCGTTGTGAGATCCTGTACCAAATATATAAAAAAGGAAAAAAAATTCAATAAGTGAATGTATTGTATTTTTTTATGCTTTAAACAAAAGATACTATTATAGTCATTAGTCTGTATCTTTGAGGTTTGTTTCTGTTACGGGTCACCCAGAATAGGAACCAGATCAGCCAGATTGGAATTTGGAAAGCCGGTTATTACTGAGCTCAGGGCCCCCATCAGCTCTCACGCAGGAGAGGGCGGAAAGGCAGCTAGCCCAGGAAGCAGGGGGCTTTTAAAACATGAAACCACATTTGTTTGGTAAACAAATTCATTGACACAAAACAATGCTTTCAGGGTCATTGTGACCACTGCCCAAACTGAATTTCCTGGGGCTTTGTTTTAGTTTCTGGTTATCTTGCCCCTGAGTAAGTACCTGCAGGCAATCTTGCATAGCCCAAGGTTACAAGAAGTTAAATCCCATTTAGTTTCCTTATGAAGCCATCTCTGTAACCTAACTTTGTTTACAGGGATTGGTTAGGTAGGCATTTTATCTAGCAAACAGCAAGTAACAGCCACTGTTCACTGAACAATTTAGAACAGTGGTGAGTGTGCATTTACAACAGAAATCACAAGATTTACATTTGTAATCTAAAATGTGAGTTGACCCACTACGTTTCCAGGACCCACGTGATACAGAGATCTGCAGATTCTCAAGTCTCCTATAAAATGACATTGTATTCAACAGGGTCTTGGCTTAGGAAATTACGCATTTTATTTAGGCCGGCTACGTAAACAGTCCTCCTGCCTCTTGCCTCAGCCTCCTGAATGTGGGGATTACAGGCATGCACCACCACACCTGGCAGGCATATATATAACTTTCCCCCCTCCCATATACTTTAAATCATTTCTCGGGCTGGCCAGATAGCTCAGCCAACTAAAGCACCCCACCCCTAGGGCATGCTGAGACTGGGCCTGGTGCTGCGTCTGTGATCCCAGTGCTTGGGAGGCTTAAAATAGGATCACTATGAGTCCAGTTTGCATAGTGAGACCCTGTAGACCCTGTACTAAATACATAAAAAATAAATAAAAGCTTAAAAGTCTAACTTGATTAAAAAATCATTTCTCTAGAGTACTTACAATATCTAATGGAATAAATTACTATGTGCATGTTCAGTGCAGATAGTTTTTCTTTTCTTATTATTTTTTCCCCTTTTTTTAGAGAAGGGTCTGTGGGGTGTTCAGGGTCTCACTATGATATCGGACTCGTGATTTTTCTGTTTGCGGCCTTGGGCTGGGGAGATAGCTCGCTGCCTGAGTTCAATCCCAGGTTCCGCAAGAAAAGAAAGAAAAAAAAGAAAGAAAAAAAAAATGAGATGCAGCCTCCCAAGTGCTGGGATTACAGGCGTGCACCACCATGCCGAATCTAGTTTTTCTTTTTCCTGAATATTTTCATAAATATTCTCTAAAAAAGCTAAGGTTTTAATATTTTCTATAAATTTCACATTTTCTTAGAACAATGGAAAGCTCAGCTAATCATTCCATTTATGTATACATACATACATATGTACATATATGTGTATATATGTACATATGTGTATAATTTTTTTTTAAGAAGTAAGACTTTGAGTCAGTGAGATAGCTCAGCGGTCTAAAGCGCCTGCTTAGGCAGCACAGGGACCCTGGTTTGATCCCCAGCACCACATGCTGTGCCAGCCTACCCCCAGGGCAGGCTGAGCCAGCCACAAAAAATAAACTAGAAGACTTTAGTCTTGTGGTATCTCACACCTGTAATCCCAGCATTCAGGAGGCTGAGACAGGAGGATCACTATGTTTGAGGCCAACCTGAACTACACAGTGAGTTCAAGGCCCGCTGAACTGCATAGTGAAACCCTATCTCCTAAAAAGAAAGTAGGATTTTAAAAGACAAATGTGAAAGTACTGCCAATTGATTTATGTGACAGGTAATCCTTTAATCCATGTAGTTTACAAGCTAAATTTGTTCTCCTGCATGTAGCCCTAAGGATAGAAACTCTACAGCTATAGAGTACTTTACTTACAATTATGAAGTGTCAGCTTTAGAGAAGAAGAAAAAGTCTTTGTAGTTTTTTTAACCTTTGATACTTCGTTATAAATGTAAAAGGGGTATGATTGTCATAGAAAGCACTTAGGATAAAAGGCTGGTATCCTTCAAATAAATATTTGAGTACCTACTATTTTCTCAATGGCTAGGTAAATACCAACAGAAAATAGGATGAGGAAAAATGAGGACAGTTAGATCAGAGGGCCAGATGGATCTGAGCGGAGCAGACGTGTGGAAATGGTGGAGCAGAGAGAATGCTTTAAAGTAGTTTTGAAGAGTTTTTAGAAAGCAAGCTAAGGGCCGGCCAAATAGCTCAGCAAATTAAAGCCTGGTTAGGCAGATGCAGAGGCCGGGAGTTCAATTACCTGGCCTGCTGTGCTGGCCCTGCGCCCCGGGGCAGAGATTGAGACTGGGCTGAGACTGGGTGTGGTGGTTTGCTCCTATAATCCCAGCATTTGGGAGGCTGTAAACAGGAGGATCACTGCATGTCTGATCTACGCAGTGAGGCCCTGTACATCCTGTCCTAAATAGAAAAAAAGAAGAAAGCAAGCAAGCTAAAATGCCTTCTTGTTAATTTTCCATTTTGTTTGCAGGCATGCATGTAGGGAATACCGTATTCACAAAGAATTAGATCATCCCAGAATAGTTAAGCTGTATGATTACTTTTCACTGGACACTGACTCGTAAGTACTATCCCATTTTACTTTTATTTTCTTAAAGTGTGTGTTCATACAGTGGAGCTTAAATCTGGATCTAGGATGTACCGCTAAAGGAACCATAAGTGTATTAATTTATCATCAAATGATCCTAGGGAAATCGAATTTTGGATTAACCATACGTCTCTGGGCCAAAGGACAAGTGTACTTTGTGCTGGAAATGTTTTAACTATGAGCTTAATTAAAAGCTAAGTGCAAGCTGATCAGTAGTGTTTGCCAGTTTCCATGGTATACTGTCATGTCCGGATTTGAGCTATCAACTGTTTTCTAAATCCATCACTTCAGAAGATACTCATGTCTTTACTGTTTTCCTGCACACACTTAACCCTTCAGACCTAAGCAACCACTGTTTTCTGTCTCTAGATTTCTGTATTTTCACCTAAATGGCATAATATAGTGTCATTTTACTAGTGATTTTCTGTGACTGGTTTCTTTCCCGTGATAAAGCCGGTGCTTACCAGGCTTGTCCCAGCACACCCGTCCCTGCCAGGGGGTTCTGGGCTGTTTCTGCCTGTGGCTGCTGGGAGTCGTGCTGCTGTGAGCACATGCTTGCAGGCGATCGCTTTTGAGTTGGTCATAACGGTGTACACTTATAATCCCAGCACTCCAGGAGACTGAGGCAGGAGAATCCCAAGTTCAGACCTAAGCTGGGCAGTTTAGCAATGTAGTGAACCCCTGCTTCAAGTAAAAAAAGGCTAGAGTTGTAGCTCAGTGCAAAGACCCTGGGTTCATGGGCCAGCAAGACGTGTACTGGGCCAAAGGACGAGTGTATTTTGTGCTGGAAATGTTTTAACTATGAGCTTAATTAAAAGCTTAGTACAAGCTGATTGGTAGTGTTGCCAGTTTCCATACTCAATGTGTGGTTAATACAAAATTCGAGACTCAGCCGTCTAAAGTGCCTGCTTAGGCACTAGCCCTGCACCCAGGGAACACTGAGCAGACCACCAAACAAAAAAAAAAGATTCTTCTATGCTGCAGTGTGCGTGTGTCAGTACTTCGTTTCTTCTTATAACCAGGCAGCACTTGAGCCACGGTCTCTTGCCTGCCCATTGTGCTTCTTCCACACACTGCATGGCCACTTCTTTTCCTACTTTTACTTGGCTCAAACTCCGCAGAGCCTGTTTCTTTCCTACCTTTAATAAAATTTTACTACTGGAAAAAAAAAAATTCTTGTATAGATTCACCACGTTTTTCTTACCCATTTGTCCTATAAATAATGGTAATAGCCAGCTCACAGAATTCCTGAAAATGCATCAGTAGTTCTTGGCAACTGGCTGAAGGCAGTGCCGGCGTTCCGCTGACATGGCCAGCGCATGCAGACTGCCGAGGGACTGCGCTGCCGCAGACACTGGTGAAGTCTGCAGGTGCCTGGCAAGTGCCCACGGTGCGGTGTCTCCGAGAGCAGCGGTGGCGACCCGCGACACCTGGCCACAGCAGGCTGTGTGGTTGGAAGCGCTGCACGTCTCAGCACCACTGCTGAGCGGGGAGGTCAGACTGTCCAGGGTTGCTTGAGGGCTGAAGTGGAGGCTTGTGGGCATTCAGAATGTCAGACTTGAACAGAGCTCGGCACCCTCCTGCTTACTGTGCAGGTGGCGTCCGAGGGCCAGCACGGGAAGTGCCGTGCGTGAGCTCTTTAAGAATCTTCTGTGTTGGCACCTTGTATAGGGAAGTAGGGTTTAGAGCCTGTGTGTTTATCCAGGACTTTATAAAGATATTTCATGTGTTTCTCTATAGGACTCCAGCCTGAGTCAGGACACAAGGCTGGCAAGTGTCCCCTCAGCATTTAGGGTGAGCTGGGAGCTTTGATCTGTTCGTCCAGCAGCTCTCTAGGTGGCTACGCAGAAAACAAGCCCACATTTAGAAATATTCCAGGAAGGCCATATTCCTTTTAGAAGCATGCCGTGTCCCCTCTTTCACTGCTCCGGGCTGTCCCTGGTTACTAAGGAGCCCAGCACAGGCACAGCCATGTGTTTTTGTGTGGAGTGGAGTTCAGAGAAATAATCTAATCTAATCGGAGGGAAGGCATGAGATAAGCAGGAGGTCTCCACAGTGGAGCATCACCCTTTGCTTTGATTAGATTTCGTGAATTTTAGGTTAGACCCCTCTCTGAAACATAAGTGCCGAAACTGTCAAAATAGATGCATGGCTTGGAGCATCTGCTGCTTTCAATTATATACGTGCTTTCCGCGAATAAGGTACATTGGCTTGTTTCTATATATTCTTGCTTTGTTCTGCCTATTGTGTATATGGTGAATTTTCACCAAAAGTAAATCAGATCATTGTTTTAGAATATCTTCTGAGAGTTGTTCAGGTTATTAAAAGGGAGATTTTATTTCTTGCTTGCATTCCAAAGAATCAGTCCCCTGGGCATGACACTGCCTCAGCCTTCAGCATCCCAGATCAGAGATACGTGTATTCCGGATAATTTGTTGCCAAGTACAGGGTTCACAGGCTGGGTGCGGTGGCACATGCCTGCAAGTCCAGGCGAGGCTGTGGTAGGGGTGAGGTTGTGAGTTCAAGACCAGCTCCAGCTGCATAGTGAATTCAGGGCCAGCCTGAGCAACGTGGCAGGATCCTGCCTCAGAAAGCCACCGTGAATCCAGTGCAGTGCTATGTCCTGCTGTGTTTCATAAGTAGCACAAATTGTTGTGCAGTTTTAGAACCGCACAAGACCATGTTTGCTCACAATCAGTTGTGCTTTTCAAAGGCCCTTGTGCCCAGAGGTCAGCACACTGGCCCTGAGGCAGCTCGCTGTCTGCTCCTCAGCCTCCCTGCGCTCCGTCTGGGGAAGTGCGTGACCCTGTGCACTGTGTCCAGCTGCAGCCAGCCAGCCAGCGTGTGTGTGCACGCAGGCATGTGAGCCCCTCACACACAGCCCGCCCCACCCCAGGCCCGTTTCCCCTGGATTCTGTGTGCTCGGTCTCCTCCCTCTGAGCCTGCGGCCTCCTTAGCGAGCTGACGGCTCTACACCGAACATGACCGCTGGGTGCCTCACTAGCTGGGCTGTCTGCTCACCTGTTCATCACGCACGTGATCAGTTTCCTGAATTAAGGGTCCTCTGTCTAAATATATTTTTTTCTATCTCTCTATCTTACTCAAATGATTCTTATTTCCTGGTTATACGCTGACTTGAGACCCACATTGTCCCAGATTGGAGTGGACATAAGATGTTCATCTCAGGGATATTAAAATAGTTCAGAAAATTTTGGAGGACCACCCGCTTAGGGCCCCCTCTTGTCCCTCTCTCAGACAGGAGCTCTCTTTTCCTCCCAATAAATATATTCTGCTTATAACCAAAAAAAAAAAAAAGAGAAAGAGAAAGAAAATTTCATCTCAACTTGCAGTACCTTGGAGCATAGACACAGGACCTGTAGTGCCACCAGCCGTGTGTAGTTTTAAATGTGGGTCTATATGATACGTTGACCCAGATGAAGGAGGAGTACACACACTCATGCTCTGCCCTGTGTAATGAAGTAACACATTTGTACAGTATTGTCCACACTGCCAGGACATGAATGAATATACAGCTAATCCTTAGAATGTGGGCAGTCTCTAGGTTCTTTTCGGTCTTGGCGCTCAAGGTTAGGTAAAATGCTGTGGTGAGCATTGTATCCTTGGAGTGGGGAGGTGGCTCAGTGGAATAAGCGCTTCCCTGGCAAGCGCAAGGGCCTGAGTTCAATCCCCGGTCTCGCCTTAAAAAAAAAAAAAAGAATTGTCTCCTTGATCACAGTATGGTTACACCAAGACCGGGGTGTGGTAGACGCCTGTAATCCCAATGCAGGTGCCACTGAGGCAGGAGGATCACTACCAGTCCAAGCTGTGCAGTGAGACCCTGTACCAGATACATTAAAAAAAAAAAAAAAAAAAATCACTCAACTGACAACACTAGAAGAATTTTAAGGAAAAGCTAGTTATGTGAAGTTTTCATTAGGATTGATGTAGATAGTCTTTTTTCCCATGTATTTAGTGCAGGGTCTACGGAGTCTCCCTATACAGATTGGACTCCTAATGGTCCTCCTGTTTTCAGCCTCTCAAGGGCTGGGATTACGGGTGCGCACTACCATGCCCAGTCTCATTTGGCATCTTAGCGCACGGGGCTGCCATAGCACGCCGGGGATTGAACCCTGGTCCCTGCGTCTGCTTACGTAGGCGCTTTAATAATACCCTGAGCTATCTGGCCAGCTGTTCTTTGTTTTTTGGTTTTTTTTTTTTTTTTTTTTTTTTTTTAATGTAGATAGTCTTAATTTGCTTGTTCTTGTCCAATGACTAAACAGTGGTTTAATTTGTCTTTAGGTTTTGTACAGTATTAGAGTACTGTGAGGGAAATGATCTGGACTTCTACCTGAAACAGCACAAATTAATGTCGGAGAAAGAAGCCCGATCCATTATCATGCAGATTGTGAATGCTTTAAAGTACTTAAATGAAATAAAACCTCCCATCATACACTATGACCTCAAACCAGGTATGTCTGACTTTTAGGAGACTGCAAAGTGGTTTTTAATTTAATAAAATTACAAGAATTTGGCAGGCCTCAAGAAGGGCAGGTACCCTTGCCTGGGTAGATGTGGGAAGAAAGGGATTCTTGCTGCACAGCTCTGGGTTAGGAGGGAGGTCAGACAAGCGCTCTTGCTGGGAGAGCCAGGGCAGTTTATGACACCAGTCCTGTTACAAAAGAACTATTCTAGCAGGTTTTGTTTACTGCCGTTGCTTACATTGTCTCCCAGTTCCTCTGCTCCGAGTCACTTTGATAAGTGCCTCAAATTAGCCATCGCCATGTACATATACCTCGTAATTCCTTAACACTGAGCGGAATTTTTCATCTTTTTGTATGGTTATCATGTATTTCTGATAGTCATCACCACAGAGTAGAGAGGAGGTACATCACTTAGCTTTGTTTCTTGTCATCATCCGTACCTGCCTCGCAGGAGTCTGTGTCTCTTCCGTGTGCACAGCTCTAACCAGCTTCTTTTGGTTATTAGGGTGGTTCTCAGTACCTTCTGGTATAGCACAGTTGTGAACTCCGCTTTGCTTTTCTGATAGATGCTTATTATTTTTGGTTTAGTATTCTGTTTACTATTCTTTGATGTTCTGATATAATTCAGATGAGTGAAAAATTCATTATAATGAAGTGATTTTTTAATTTTAATTTTTTTAGGGAAACATTTTATAATTTACATATAAAATCTCAGTAAGAAACCATGTAAAATGACAAAAATATCCAGCTTACATAGAAACAACAAAAAAAAAACCACATACACAATGTATATTTTAATTATTTAACAAGAATATGAACAAAACATTTTAAAATAATCTCAGTGATTTGTAACTCATTACATCATTGCAAGAGACAAATTTGACCTTGATAAAAGTTTAATTTTATGAAAAACTCAGGGGCTGGGGAGATGGCTCAGTAGAATAAATACTTCCCTGGCAAGCACAAGGGCCTGAGTTCAATCCCCGGTTCCGCCAAAAAAAAAAAAAAAAAAAAAAAAAAAAAAAAACTTAGGTTGGACAATTTATTCATATGAAAGTTAAAACATGTTTAAAAAAGAACCTGGCAATAAAACCAGCTTCATCCTGAAATAATTGTATAGAAAAACAACATCTCCCAGGCCCCGATTTTTTTTTTTTTTTAAAGGATGGCTATTACACGTGCGATCAGGTTTTTCCATCTTTGACTTCACCAGACCTTTATTGCTGTATGAGCTGTAGGTGGCACTGTGGTACTACTGGCTTTGATTCCTTTCCGTGGTTTCTTTGATGTCCAGTCCCCCCAACTACAGTTCCAAACAAGGTAGTTTAGGGTTCACCAAAAGGTCAGGTAGAAAGGTCCCATCCTTTTTTTCACCAGCTGTGCAATGATGTGTCACTTTGGCAACTTATTGTTATCTCCAGTACTCACAGTGGTGATGTGGGTGCATTAAGTGAGTTTGGTAAAGCAGAGTTTTCAGCAGACACACAGGACTCTTCCGTCAGCATCGAGTTAGATTGCTTTTTATTCCAAAGAGTTAACGTTTGTTTTTGCACGTAAGAGCAGAGTGCAGTGTTCTCTGAGAAGTCTGCTTAGGGGCTGGTGAGATGGCTCAGTGGTCTAAAGCACCTACTTAGAACAAGCTTAGCAAAGCACAGGGACCGCTGTTCAATCCCACAGCACCAGCCAGCCCCACCCCCGCCCGCCCCCTGGTGGGCTGAGCTGGCCACACACACACACACACACACACACACACACACACACACAAATAAAATTTAGAAAAAAAATTTAAAAAAAAAAAGTCTGCTTAGGCAGGTGCCAGGACCTGGGCTGGGTCCCCAGCACCGCGTGCCGTGCCAGCCCTGCCTCTGGGCTTGCGAACTGGCCGCTGAGACAGGTCAAATACATCAAAAAATAAGTCCGCTTATTCATGATGATCTTTATCTTTTTAGGTAATATTCTTTTAGTAAATGGTACAGCATGTGGAGAGATAAAAATTACAGATTTTGGGCTTTCCAAGATCATGGATGATGATAGCTACAATTCGGTGGATGGCATGGAGCTAACGTCACAAGGTGCTGGTACTTACTGGTAGGTAGCGCTGCGCTGCACTGAAGCATCGGGAACCAATGATTAATCGTGTACCAAAGCAGAAATGTTACAGTCAGCTTTCAGCATTTTGATTCTTTGTATTAATATGTCTTTTTTTTCCCCTTCCTCTTGAAAATCCGAGAGAGGAAGAGCTTACATCGGGCCAGGTTTTTGTGGTGTATTGCTTCTGCCCCCGGAGTGCTGGCCGCACGAGTCAGCAGAGGACACGGTTGCTCGTGTGGTGTATATGAGAATGGCTCTGAATTCCTTTCAGTGCAGATCAAAGTCTCTCTCATCATGGGTTAAAGTGATGAGGGGTTTGTTCTAGAGTTGCCTGAGGATGATGGGCTCTCCAGAATTAAGGAGTTGTGAAGATCAGGATGGAAAAACCCCAGCATCCCATGAACTCTATGCAGGAAAAAGTGAGCAGTTTCCCAGAAGTTTATCCGTGTCTGTTAGCCATGTTCTCTGAGGTTTTAAGGCATGCTCCTACCATCTGCTGCTGTTGTCCCGCAGCCACCCTACCCAGCTAGTGGTGCCACCAGTTCTTTCGTCTCTCCTGTGTCTGCCCATGACTTTGTTCCCCCGTGGTCAGAACCGAGAAACATACCTGGGGCCAAACAGGCAACCTTGTGATGCTAATGTGGTGACGAAGCTTGCCTTTCCCTGCTGAGTAGTCAGAACCGCGTGCCTGTGCTTCTGAACCCGGAGGAGGCTCTTTAGACCTGATGGAGAAGGACGGCAGCTTCAGGGATCGGGCTGCTTGCTTTTGCGACTGGAGATGAGGACGTGAGAAGGCACCCGGTCCCGGCACGCCCCGGAGCCTTGCTGTGCCGGTTAATCGTGCTGCCTCGCCCGCGTGCTGGCTCTGAGCTGCCGCGGCCTGCACTCGCAGCCCTCAGGAGGTGCAGGGCAGCCTGGCCCAGCACGAAGCCCAGCCCTGTGTGCACAGAGCTGTTTTCTGCTGCTCCTCCTTACTTGTAGAGAGGATACCTATAGTAAAATGGCAGCCCCTAAATTAAAGCTTTGGAATTCTAGGTTTAAAATAGAAGCTGCGGGGCTGGTGAGATGGCTCAGTGGTCCAAAGCACCTACTTAGAACAAGCTAAGCTAAGCAAAGCACAGGGACCGCGGTTCAATCCCCCAGCACCACATGCCAGCCAGCCTCGCCCCCTGGTGGGCTGAGCTGGCCACACACACACACACACACACACACACACACAAACAAACAAATAAATAAAAATTTAAAAAAAAAATAGAAGCTGCACTTACCGTGTTATTCACTGTGGTGGTTATTATGGGTTAGGGTCCCTGTCACTAAGTGATGCAAAAATATCTGCTGTTGGGAAGTTAGGGAAGAGTTCTGTATCCGGGGTAAAAATTAACTGAGACTTGAATTTGAACCTTACATTTAATAGGTTGTTCTTTTTTTTTGTTTTGTTTTGCAGTACCAAGGATTGCACTCAGGACCTTGCGCTTGCCAGGCAAATGCTTATTCTACTGAGCTATCTCCCTAGCCCAGTTTGTGCTTTTTTTAAAGGTGCAGTTTTTTCATGCTTGAAATAATTGTTTCACTGCTCTCAGTGCTCTATTTGCCTAGCTATAAAAATTTAGCATTTTATCGCTTCTCAGCCCTTAAGCTAGCATTACGTGTACAAATTCAGCATTTGGAATTTAAATAAAACATGTTTTACTTCAAAGAAATGTTTTGAGGGGCTGGGGAGATAGCTCAGTAGAATAAGCACCTACCTGGCAAGCACAAGGTCTTGGGTTCAATCCCCGGTACCGCAAAAAGGAAAAAAGAACAAAGTAATGTTTTGGATAGGATGGAGAAGGAAGTTTTTTGAATAATAATTGGGGGGCATAGCGAAGTATGTGTATGAACAAGGGTGGGCTCTATATGCTGGTGGTTGTGGGAGTTGGGTGATGCTGGGATTTGCTGTTATATTGTACTTCCTACTTCAGGTTACATTGGAAGATCTTTCCATAATATAAAGTAAGATGGGGGGACGGGGAGATGGCTCAGTAGAATAAGCGCTTCCCTGGCAAGCGCAAGGGCCTGAGTTCAATCAGACAAATAAATAATAAGTAAGATGGGGCTCTTCATTAAATATTTTGAATTCTTATTCTTATAAAGTTTTGAAAAGCATCACTCTTGGTAGAAACATTGTCATAGTCACCACTTCTGTGTCATTGTGAAAGTGATGATCCAGAGAGATGCATATGCTGGCAAGATAGAGCCCTTCAAATAGCTGCAGCTCCTCCTGAAATTTTGTACATTGACTACTTTAAAATTAGTGAGGCATGTACTTCGATCCCCACAACACTCCAGCCATGCAAAAGTGCCCTGAAGGCATTCAAAGAGCAAAACAGAAAAAAAAAAAAATAATAATAATAAAATAAAATTAGTGAGGCATAAGGGCCGGCCAGATAGCTCAGCGCGTTAAAGCAACTGCTTAGACACGGGGACTGGGGTTCGAGCCCGCCTGTGCTGTGCCGGCCCCGCCCCTGGGGCGCCCTCAGAAGTGATGGAGACTGGACTTGGTGGCACATGCTTGTATTGCCAGCGCTGGGGAGGCTGAAAACAGGAGGCTCTCACGAGTCTGATCTAC